GTTTTTATCTTAGCTCAGGAAGGATGGCTCCAGAGCAAATTAATTTATGCAGTAGCCAGATCGCTGGCTCACAATTTAATGCCAGTAGCTCACAAAGTAGAATTTTTGCTCACAAGACTACACAGCTTAGAGGGAGCATTGGTTTGGCATTGTGTTTTTTGTTTGTTTAATGATAAATCTTCCATCTTTATGTGAGAAGTCGGCTTTTATATGGAGCAGTTTAGGAGATATGAACTCAATTTTCAACTCTACTTTCTTTCTTGGTAGAGAACTCTAGGGATCTTTTATTTTTGTTCATGTAATAGTCCAGCATGGAAGGAATACCTCAGCTCATAAGTGGTTATTTAGGATGAAGCATTTTTAAGATAGGAGTGATGGGTCTTTTGCTTTTATTACTGTGGAGAAGAGGAAGAAGAATATTATTCTGGCCTTGAAATTTATTTGCAGCAAGGTCTGAGCTTTCCCCCTCTCCTTGTCACTGTTTTGGAAAAAAATACATTAAGCTAATAATAGGTGATAAAATAAATTAATAATGGGTAATAATACATTCTCATGGATGGGGACCTTCATGTGCTCTACTAACTGGTAGTTTTAAGGTGGGATGTTTGAACAGAGATATTTGTGGACACACACCCCCTCCCCGGCTGTGCTTGGAGAACTGAAGAATGAACTTTTCATCTTTTGACAGCATGTACAGAAAATACGATTCTACTAGAATAAAGACAGAAGATGACATGTTCTCAAGCAAAAGGTGCTTAGAATGGTTCTATGAATATGCTGGTAAGTAGAAATGTGATCATGGCTTATACATGGTTACCCTGATGGTGCTGAAAGTTTAAGAACCGCACCCACACACCACTCCTTGTCTGAATAAATATTTAAAATACATCTGTATGAAGATCAGTAAACTGTTTCTTTTGAAGTGAAGCCTATTTCAAATGCTATAGTCTTATGAAAGAAAGAAGTTGTTAATGAACTTTTTAGTACTGACAGGACTTGAGTCTTGGCTCAGATTTCAGGTAGTTAAATGCATACTTACTAGGTTGGATCCAGTCAGCTTCTCTGCTGCTGAAAAGGGGAAGAGGGGTCCTGTTTGATCACATAAAAGGTAATGCTGGGGACCCTGGGACCTGCATGGGCAACAGCCATGTGGGATGGGGGCTGTAGCAGAGGGGGAAGGTAGATAAGGTTGAGTGAAAAAGCTGGTTGGCTCCAACCTACAAGGTGTGTTCATGAAAATCTTACGTAGTAAATATGGATCAGAAGTCAGCAATCTTAAATCATGTTCAGTTACTGCATAGATAATCGATTGATAGTTGATAGATCAAATGAATAAAATTGGTCTCACTTAATAAAATTTGGCTTGATGATGATTTAAACTCTGTTTTGTAGGAGGAGCCTTTCAGATTAGAAACCCCCCCCCAGTTCTTTAATGACTATCAAAATCCCGTCTTTGTATTTTTGTCTGTTCTTAGTGGTGTATTAAGATAGGGAACTATAGATGGAGGAACTGTAAGCTAGAAATGTGTGAATCTGGTTCCTTACTATCTGTCACGTTGTGCGTAGTGCAACTTGTGGTGAGTTGTATTTTTGGATTATTGAATACATATGACTGTATGTCTTCAAGTAAAAGTAACACAGTCTCTTTTGATTGCAGGAACAGATGATATTGTGGGCCCTGAGGGAATGGAGAAATTCTGTGAGGACGTTGGAGTTGAACCCGAAAATGTATGTTCAGGCTCATTATAGGTGGCAAAGTGTTTATTCAGTTAATGAAAAATTAGGAAGTGCAGTGTTCATCTTTACTCCATTTGTCTCTCTCAGTCCTAACGGCTTTGAGTGAAACTCTTCACAATTTTATGTTAAACAGAAAAAGGTGCCCTCTTCTTACTAGGAGAGCGGGAGTGACCTTCCAGAAATTTTTCTTCCTTTCTCCTAGTTCATATTTAAAGTATTGCAGATCGGGCTGCTTCAGTACACTTGAACAAATGTTGCCTTTGCACTTATTCCTTGTGGCTACAATAATTAGGTAAAGTGAATACATGTTCTGTGGTTAGGCAACTGGCAACCTGGGGTCTCAGTCTAGCACCCTGAAACTTCCCATTTGGACTCCTGTACAGCTCTCCAGTTCCAAACACCTCCCCTTATAATACACCTCAGCTTTTCTCCTGAAGAGTGGTGTTGTTTAATTCCTTCCTCTTCAGGGTGAACAGAAGCGGACCCCTTGGCAGGAATACACCATCACATTATGTACTTCTGCTCATTCTGAGCCGGAGGAAAAGGGCTTCTTAATTATCTCCTTTAACAAGATCAGCAAAACACACACAAAAACACCTTCTAATGGAGTTCTTCCCTTCAGGCATTTGGACTGCTTGTTTCTGTTTGCTTTTATGTTGTAGGCAGTTGGGGGGAGTGTATGTCAGAGAATGGCTGAAGTGCATAAAGAGAAGGACTCTGCTGACTCATATATATTTCAAAGACTCATCCTCTCGTTTTAGATGATGTTCTCTTACAGATTTGCTCATTTGACACCTTGAAACAACTAAAGTGCTTATCATTTTCATTCTTGAAGGAATTAGCTAGGAAAGTCTGACTGAGTGCAGGCGTTTTATAGTCCTTAAAACCAGTATGCTTGTTATAGATAAAACTGGAATATATTTTTCTTGTGGCCTTGTCTGTATCCCTAGGAAATACTGGTGATGGAGATGACTCAGAAGAGTTAAAGAAGTCCCCCCTCCCACCCTCTTATATTCTAATGCTAATGTTTTGTTTTTAAACAGGTAGTTATGCTTGTGTTAGCTTGGAAGCTAGATGCTCAGAACATGGGTTACTTTACATTGCAAGAATGGCTAAAAGGAATGACGTCGCTGCAGTAAGTAATACCTTCATCATCAAACGTGAAATAGATTCAGGAGTGTGGCACTGCCATCTTGCCAAACAAAATCTTAAACTTAACTATCTATAGAGGAAAACTTGGTATGATGGTTAAGAGCACGGACTCTAATCTGGGAGAACTGGGTTTGATTCCCCACTCCTCCACATGCAGCTGCTGGTGTGACCTTTGGTCCGTCATAAGTTCTTTCAGAGCTGTTCTCTCAAGGGCAGTTCTCGAGAGAGCTCTCTCAGCTCCACCTACCTCACAGGGTGTCTATTGTGGGGAGGGGAAGGGAAAATGATTGTAAGCAGCTCTGAGACTCCTTCAGGTGGTGAAGGGTGGGGTATAAATCTAATCTCATTG